AACTTGTCCTCGGCGGGGCGGGGCGGGGCGGGGCCTGGCTGCGCGGGGCGTCATGGGAAAGGCAGGGAGCCGGACCCGGCACTGTACCTCCGCGAGGAAGGAGTCCTCACCTGAAAAGGCCAGGATCAGTGTCCTGACTTCCCTAGGGCGGTCTCTGGTTTCATTTTTCCGGAGGGGCTGGCACTCCCCGATTCTATCCAGGGCCCGGTTTCTTCCGGCTTCTCCCGGAAGCTGTTAGAGCAGGGACAGGAAGTCCCGCCTCTGCGACGGTCGTTGATGACGTAGATACGTAAGGCGTGCTGACGCAAAAGAAACTAAATAAAAGGGACAGATTTCGAAGGGGGGAGGTGGGCGGAGTCATTGTAGGCGGTATCCTGTCCCTCCGAGGGGCGGGAGTACGCGTGGTGGGCGCGCCTCAGGCCGCTCTAGGGTCGGAGGCGGGGCTGGAGGGGGAGCAAGGATGGGCGTGTCCTTGCGACTGGCGCGCCTGTGCAGAGCCAGCCTCCGGTCTCTTTCCTGGGCTTCTGGCCCACCTGGTGGCGTCCCTGGCTCTGAGTCGGTTTGGTCAGCGAGACCCGGAATCCCAGCTCGGAAGACCAGCTCGGAAGCTGTGGCGCCGGGCGGCGTACGACGCAGTCCAGCGCGGCCTTGGGGCGCAAGAAGGCAGGAACCAAAGCAGGAAAAGTTTTTCCTCTTTTTTTTGGCTTGAAACAGGATTTCACTGTGTAGTTCAGGCTTGCCTGGAACCCATTGCGATCCTCCTGCCTCAGCCTCCTGACGGCTGGGATCACAGGACTGCGCCACCACACCAGGCACAGAAAAATATTTCCAAAAAAATGTCCAGCTTCTCAGGACTTTACCAGATTTTTGCAACTTGGAAAAAAAAAAATGGTGGTGGTGCAGAGGCAGGAAGTTCCAGGCCAGCCTGGGCTTCACAGTGAGTTCGAGGCCAGCCTAGAACACATAGCAAGACATAGCAATCTTTTTCTCAAGAAAAAGATTGTGGAGGAAGTGGCTGGTGGGCCCCTTAGGTAGTCAGGAAGGAGTCCCAAAGGGGTGACATTGAGCTAGTCTGAGGGGGAGCTGGAGGAACTGCATTCCAGGCAGAGGGAATTTTGAGTGCAGAGGCCAGGACAGAAGAGAAACTTGGCGTGGTGGAGCCCGGTGCAAACCTGTAATCCCAGCACTCAGGAGGCTGAGGCAGGAGGTTCGCAGGTTAAAAGCCCAGCCTGGGCAATTTAGCCACTTAGCAAGAGCCAGTCTCAAAATGAATAATAAAAAGGTGTAGCTCTGCACACACCCTGCGTGTGATCCTTAGGGCAAAAGTTTTGCTCCTTCTGTGCTAGGTAGGCACTATTCCACTGAGCTTCTTCCTCAAGCCCTTTTATTCTTTTGAGAGGTGTCACTAAATTGCCTAAACTAGGCTCCACCTTGTGGTCCACTTTGCAATCTGTGGATTAAAGTGTAAACAATGCAGACTGGAGTAAATGTAAGCAGAGTGTGCTGGTGCCCGGAGCCAGGCCTCAGAGTGGAGCCAGCGCCCAGAGCAAGAAACAGTCACCCTCGGTTCCCACGTGGTACCCTAGCCAGTGGCCTCTGAGGCCAACTGCTCTTGAACCTGTCACTGTACATTTGTTTATTCTGTTCGTACATCCTGTGAGATGGGGTCTTGCCTTGTTTCCCACAGTAGCCGCCAACCCTGGGCTGCAGCCATCCTCCTGCCTCAGCCTCCTGAGTAGCTGGGAGCACAGGCTTGTGCCACACCTGGCTCCAGCTCTATTTCTGTAGTTCAAACAAAGGGAATCAAACAATGAACAGCCTGTGTCTAGCTTTTTTTAAAAGCTTTTTTTTTTTTTTTCTTTTTTGGTACTAGAGATCAAATTCAGGACCTTGCACAGGTGGTGCCGCTGAGCTAAATCCCCAGTCCCCCCTCTTTTATTTTTTGAGACAGGGTCTCACTATGCAGTCCAGACTGGCCTTGAACACACTATGTAGACAAAGCTGGCCTGGAATTTGAGGCAACCCTCCTGCCTCAACCTCCCCAGGGCTGGGATTACAGGTGTGCACCAGCTTCCCCAGCTGGTCCCTTTTAAACATAACTGCCTGGTGTGGTGGCGCATGCCTGTGATCCCAGATGTGGGGAGGCTGAGGCAGGAGCCCAGGGATAACCTGAACTACGCAGCAAGACCCTGTCTCAAAAAACTAAGAATACTATAACTAAGAATTTACACAGTATTTTAACAGGTCTTAACTCCTCCTATACTTTCAGGATGTTGTTGGTCTTTCCTGTGCTGTTGGATTTCGTAATTTGACAGCTTTGTGGAATTGATGGCTGCTGAATGGTGAGAGTCCTGGGCGGGTGTGTCACCCTGGAGCCCCTGCTGAGTGCCCATTATCCAAACCCCGGGGCAGCAGGGCTCAGCCTGCAGAGCCGGAGTCGCCTGCCCGGTGTGTGCTGCTCTGTTACTTCACATCCAGGGGTGAACTGGAGAATCTGCAGTTGTTCCTGCCTCATTGGCCACTGCGGAAATGACCCATCCGGGTCTTTGCCCTTTCTTCTCCTTAAGAAAGTTTAAAAATTTCCAGAGAACCCAGGGCTGGCGTACACAGGGTCCCACATGGTGTTCCCCAGGGCTCGCGGTGCCAGCGCAGTGACAGTGCCACCAACAGGGCGCCAGCCCAGCCACGTCCTCACTCGGCCCTGGCTGCCCAGGCCCACCTCTGGTGTCTGTTCTCAGCTGTCGGAGGCAGCATCCCGGCCTCCGTGGCCACACCCTTCCTGCCCTGGACGCTGGCAGCCTCGGAAGCTGGGAGCCTGTCCCTTCCCAGGTGCTACAGTGATCGCCTTTAAAAAAGTTTCTGAATGGGGGCTGGGGACTTAGCTCGGTGGCACCACGCCCACCTCACAAGTGCAAACTTCTGAGTTGATCCCCAGTAGCGGGTGGGGTAGGGGTAGTTTCTGAACAGTGAGGAATGACTTCTTTTCTCTCTCTCTCTCTGTTTTGTTTTTTTGAGACAGGATCTTGCTATGTAGTTCAGGTTGTTCTTGAACTCACAGTGATCCTCCTGCCTCAGCCTCCCTAATGCTGAGATTACAGGCCTGATTTTAACATTTTGCCGGGCATAGTAGTGCATGCCTGTAATCCCAGCACTCAGGGGGCTGAGGCAGGAGGATCACTGTGAGTTCGAGACCAGCCTGAGCTACATAGTGAGTTCCAGGTCAGTCTCAACTACATAGTGAGACCCTGTCTCAAAAAAACAAACAACTCCCCCAAAACCAAAAAACAACAACAACAACAGCAAAAAGTTAAAAACTTGCAACGTGCAATGGCACAAAATAAACATTCGTATTCCAAATAGGGAGACAGAAAGGAATGGGACCAAAATCCAGCAGGGTAAACATTAAGCCCCATGGTTCCATGCCCAGCATCCCTGGCAATCAGTGGCAAGTTGCAAACTCCATGGGGCTTGGGTGGCTCCACCCGCACAGCACTGGTTTTGGTTGTAGCTCCCACAGCTTCTCTCTGGGGCTGGCTGTACTCTGTCCTTGCAGTTTTTCTCAGATGATCCATGTTCCTGGCTTCTCCAAACTTCTGGGGTCTCCACTGCACCTTCGACTTCACGCAGCTTCACACACAGCCCTCTCGGGCGCACTCAGGCCTTATTCTGAGATCTGAGTGGAAGCCTTCACGACCCCACAACTCTTGCATTCTGCACGCGCCCTAGCACCAGCATCGTGTGGGTGACAGCAAGCTCTGCCACCAGCTAGAGCAGTGGCCAGGCCTCCTCTTCTCTTTGCTAGAGGGGTCAAGTTGCCTGGATCGCTGGGCACTCTGAACCCTTTTCCCAGGAATAAGTTCTCTAGGCCACTGCCCTCCTGGAACATGGTGCTCTGGGGCTCTCCTCTCACAGCAAAGTCTTTCACCTTTGTGACTCTGAGGCTGCAGAGGCTGGAGGCCTGCTGGATCGTGTGGTGCCCTCAGGCCATCTTTTCTGTTCCTCTTCTCAGCAACCAAGTTCTCTGCTTTATCTTTCCAATGTGCAGCTTTATGGAACTTTCTTTCTAACCAAACTCACAATGTTTTGAATCATTCTGCTCTTGATTCTCAATGTAGATCTGGCTAAAAGTCTCCAGCAGTAGCCATGCCACCACCTCAACATTAGACTTTCTTGAAATTTCTGCAAGATTAATTAGTTTGCTGCCCTTAATCTCAGTCTCGAGCAGTCTTTGGACATGAACAAAATGTAGGCAATTTTTTTTTCCAAGACATAACACAATATCTGGAGTCCAACAGCCGATGCAGTCCTTCCCAGCAGAAACCTCCTGAGCCTGGCCTTTACCAGCAGCATTTCTATGAGCATCTGGTGTTCTGAGCTCTGACCAGAATCTCCCACCAAGTACAGCCTAAAGTTTTCCAGGGCTGCTTCTTCAGCCAGCATCTCAAACCTTTCCAAACTCTTCCCAAAGCCAGTTCCAAAGGCTCCCGAACCACATGGTCAGGTGCAGTCACAGCAACAACCTCACTCCTAGTACCAAGCTGTCTTGGTTACTTTTCTTGTTGCTGAGATGAAATACCCTGACAACCACAGTTAAAGGAGGAAAGGTTTACTGAGCTTACAGTTTGTAGTGATTTCAGTCCACAATTGGCTGGCTCCAAAACAGGTTGGGATGGCAGAGGGGGATTGCAAAGGATTAACAGTTCAAGGCAGACAGAAGGAAGCAAGGCAGCAAGCAGCAAGTAACAAGCAGTGACCATTTCTGTCCCCTATATTCTACTGGGTAGCACTCTCACCCGGGGGTGGGTGTGCCTTAATCTTAGCATTGCACCAGGAATCAATCCCAGCATCACACACCCTATATTCAGCCACCTCCCAAAAGTGCCACCTGTGACCACATGAGGCTTGGAGGGACATGTGGACGCAAGCCGTAACAGCACATAAAAACCAGCTTGCCTGCAAAGGTTCCTCCTAAGGGTATAGTGAGGCACTCTTACATTTTAATTTTTGTGAGACAGGGTGTAGCTGTGTAGCCCAGGCTGGCCTTGGACTTGAAGTGATCCTGCGGCCTCAGCCTCTGAAGTGCTGAGATTATAGTATGCACTGCCACACTGGTGAAAGCGAGGTACAAGTCTGGCTGGGACAAGTGCACCGCTCGTGTGTCTCCTAGCACACCAGTAGAGGCCTAGCTCGTGCATTGAGCCTGTCTATGTCCGGCTATGGCCTCGCCCGTCTGCGCTAGTTGGATGACTCCATCGCC